GTAAGAGTGACTGCAAATCAATACAAAGTTGTTCTGAGTGACTTTCTGACTTTCATCCTATGAGGAAACATTTCTATCCTGATGGGTCTCTTCCAGGATGACAAGGTCCCGGAATGGTTTGATGAAAATGATGAGTCAAATGACATGACCTTCACAGTCACAGCTCTCAACCCAGTTTAACACCTACAGGAGGTTCTGGATCGGCAGCTTTGACAGCGCTCTCCACAACTATCATCAAAACACTAAATGAGGGAGGATTTTCTAACAGAATCGTGTTGCATCCCTCCAGTAGAGTCCCAGAGACTTGGAGAATTAACGTAAAGGAACAATGATGCACATGGTGAGTCATTGCCTCACTGAGACACTTAGTGTTTTTTTTTTTTCCTTTAATTTGTCGCCCATCTGCACGTGTGAATAACTCATTGGCTGCTGCTGTTCATTGCATCTATGGGAACCATATTCCTTAAAGAGAGCAACATCTCCTAATGCATGTGTCTCCATCAGGACGGTGATACCTGTTTTGCAAATTAACTCTTCAATTGTTAAAAGTTCCAGTAATACTTGTGTAACATAATATTTGAGACGTAACTACTCAACATAATAATTACTGAGTTGTTTTCTGCTGCTTAAATTTGTTTACAGTTTTCGGGTTTTCTGCTGGAATACTTGTTGACTATCCCCTCAAACTAGAACTCATAAATGCTACAACATTTGTTTAGAAGCTCTAATAGTTGCCAAAGGGGGTGTTACTGAGCTGTGACCAAACATTTGGTTCAGGCCCTTTTGCTTTTTTGTAATTTTGAAACTATAAAAGATTAAAATAAAACAATACACTTTGCTTTAAGTATTAAATAAGTGTGCTATTTTAAACTTTATGCCCTTTGGAAATCAGGTTGTTTATAAGCCTTTTCATCTTCTGCTACAGGAGGCTTGGCTTTATCATTTGTGACGACTTTTCCAGGGAACAAACAGAGTGACCGATAGAGGCACGACATAAAACATGATCCAGGCCATGTGGGCAGATGTTTTGGTGAGATGCGACATTATAGATTATCCATGTTATAAACAACACATGCTTTCAGTTGATTTGGAGATTGTGACTCAACATTAGGCCAAACAAGCACGGTGTGGAGCAATAACACGACATAAATAAATAAATAGATACATTCAAAAGACAGGACATCAAAGACCCCTGAACATCATCTTTATTGTCATGACCTAAATTCCCAAACTGTCAAACAAACAAGTAATGCAGAGAGAAGCTGAAATCCACCAAATCAAACATCAGAATTACTGCGTTTACCCACAACTTTAAGAAATTATTTTAACTTGAGGTTCATTTCTCAAGACTGAACACCCCCATTATTTCACCAAGGAACCGAAAAGTACCTTCATAAAAACAAACTCTGCTTTAGCAGAAAGAAAAAAAAAATCAAACACAGCAGTTTTGGTCAGTTGCTGGCAATGTAACAAAGTCTTGCATTTTGTGCTTTTTTTCCTATTAACTGAGGTTGCAGAAGGCACATGTGCATCGTTCAGTTCATGGAATTGCGCTTTAAGCTTTGCTTAGTGTATCTCTGATAAAATAAGACTGTGCAAGTGTACATACAACACATGAAGCTCCCTCTGAGCCACTTCAAGTCCCAAAACTGTAACTTTCAGGGAACGTCTAATCCCCATAAAACTGGCAGTGTAAAACCAAAGCCATTTTTATGATTATCTGCTATGTATGGTACATGAAGACAAGAAATGTGTTTTGTTTCTGAGATATTTTAAGGTTTGTAGTGAATTATGGATAAACATATACGCCAATGCCATATTTGGAGTGTAAACATCAGGAATATTATGGCCCATAGATTTGAAAGCATGCTATTATGTCGCCCTCATTAGTGCCTCTCATGTGTTAACTTCACCCATGAAGCCATTTAAAAACTGTCACTGCTCTTCTGAAAGTACAGTGTTTCCTCTACATCCACCTTCACAGCAGAGTCCTGCACTGGGTTTACACCGCCACGGCTGTCTGGAGAGTCTTCCCCTGCTGCTGAAAAACATCCTAGAGGAAACACTGAGCATTAGAGAACCCTAAAAGACTACTTTAGAAGGTCCCGTGTATAGTTTAAGGGAATCTTTTGGAAGAAATGGAATCACTGTTATCATCTGCTGCCACACTGGTGCTGCTGATTTACTAATACTCTTAATAACTGCTGTAATCAGTAATTTAGTCAGTCATATTACAAACTGAGTACACTTGACAATTATCCTATGTTGCTATTGTTATTTTAAGTCACAGACATTGCTACGGTATGGCAACACTATTTTGGTTAATCATGGCTCGCTTTAACAATTATTTGCTGACAACAGGTGATTAAGCGTCACACAACACTTTGTCATGGTGTCCCGACAATGCTCTGTTTGCCAACACAGCGCTGCCTGCCTCCTCTGCTCGCTACAGTATTACACAGTAAGAGGCTCCACCAGGCACTACAGCTAATCTACAATATCTGAACTGTGCATTATCTAAGAAAATGTTATCAAACTGTGACTCCGTCGATAGATCCTAAATTTTAAACGACACGGATGAGATTGGGAAATTGTTTTGCTTTCATGAGCCCTTATATCTAAAGATGGAGTGGGTCCTCGAACACCGAGTCTGCCATTTTGCACTGCTACTGCATCAGTTCTCCTACATGTTCAGAAGGAGAAGATGAGGCAAGGGATTGGTTTCAATCTGCAACCTTAATGCTAGACGTCACTAAATCCTACAAACTGCACCTCTAACCATCTGGATGAAAAAATATTCAGTCTGCTGCAACGTTAAAAAAGTTTTTTTCCAATTAACTTCCCCAAATGTCAAATCAATAAACCAACAAAGATGGCAGCCGTACGGGAAATACGTTTTTAAAAAAATGTACATCTTAAAACAGACAATATATCTTCATCCAGATGGTAAAAGAGGATTCTGGAATGACAGCAAGTGATCTGGGTTTTATCAACAGGTGATTATTGTTCAGAGAAACAGATGGTTACCGCTGCAGCTTCAATGTGACTTTCATGTTAACACAAGTGAGGCACAAACCGGGCCTAGCAGTTGTGATGCTGTCGACCTACGGGCCTTGGTGCTTCATCGCTTTCATACTCATCATTATAGTTTTCGTATTTGCATCCACAGCAGTATGTACAATGTAGTGCGTTTGTTTTGAGGCACAGAGGTCACGAGGCATTCAACCTGGCAACCACACACTGTTCCCACTAATGCCACAGAGCCTATTCAGTGCAACAATAAACAAGCCACACACACTGGCCTGTTAAAGCAGCCTGGGCTCCACCACCTGTTCAAGTCCCTCCCTCCTGCCCTGTCAATCAGAGCACGTTGGGGAGGTAAAGCGAACACAGCAGCATGTTCTGTCCCAGAGCCGGAAAGCGCCTGAATGCCTCCCAGGCGTCTGAGAAAATGTTGTATTTGAGAAAGACGCGGTGCTCGAGGCTCGTGGGCAGGCTGACGTCTCGGCTCATGATGTAGATGCCGTCGTTGTGCAGCGTGCACGTCAGGTTCAGGCCCGACTTTGACGTGTTCTCCTTCAGCTGGATCCACTCCCCCGTAGTGACGTTGTAGGACTGTACCGTCAGAACGTCCTCTGTCTGGCTGGGACGTCTCTGCCGCCGGCCCGCCTCCAGCTCGTGGGTGTAGCCGCCCACCAGGTAGATGGTGTCCTCCACCGAGAGCATCTGCTGCTTGCGGATGTGGGCCGAGCAGGACCGAAAGACCGTCCAGTTGTCAGAGGTGGGGCAGTAGCGGAGAACATTTGTGTTCCGGTCTGTCGGACATGCAGAAAACACATTGAACTCAAAAAGGAAACATTAAAAGGACTAATTTTATGACTTAATTTGGGCTCCATATAACCATTACTGTTACTGAAGAATTTGCACATTATTAAAATGTGAGAAAACAGTGGAAACTTCCACAATCATGAGATGTATTCAAGATGTTTACTGAATTTAAACAACACTCAAAAACCCAAATATATTTAGTTTGCCACCATATGTACCAAACAAAATGATAGATTCCTTGCATTTGAGAAAGAGGAACCAGTAAATGTTTACATTCTTTGCCCAGAAAGTGATTAAAACAATGATTAAAATATTAACGTTGCAGACTAACTATGTGTTAATTAACTAATTGATTTATTGACTAATTCTATTAGCTCTACTGTTAACGACATGTAAAATATGGAAGCAATGGCCACTGCATATGCTGTGTGCACCCACCAAAGCAAAAGCCATTATAAGTGAAGTTATATATAGATACTATAGGACAGCGTGTCCTGGTTCTGAACATAACAGACAAATATGTGGACTGACTGGTGTAGTGACGAATACCCATTAAAAATAAAGAGTTACAGGATTATAAAAGGACGAGACACTCTCTCAGTTCTGGAGTGAGACAGCTTCTGTGTTCAAATGTGTTACTAAATAGAATTTCAAAGTCAGTAAAACAAGATTTAAATGTCAGTTCTGCTTTTTGTTAACTTTATGTAAATGTTTGTTGTCTTTGGGAAATTCCGCATGTTTTTTTTTGTTTTTTTAATTTCATTTAGAGCACAAGTTTGCAGCCTTTTTGTCTTGTAACACCCTAAAATCAGAGATTCACAGCTCTGTGGAGCCTCGTGTTCCTTTAGCTTTCAGCAGTGAAGACTTTATGACCTTCTTCATTGATAAAGTTTTGAATATTACACAAAAAATGATTAAGATGTCTTTAGGTGCAGCAGCTCTGGATGCATCCATAGGACCAGATTTATACTTGGACTGCTTCTCTGCTGTAAATCTCTCAGAGCTCACATTGATAGTAAATCCTTCTAAACCAACGACATGTCTGTTAGACCCAATCCCAACTAGACTGTTCAAGGAAACCTTTCCCCTAACTAGTACTGCAGTATTAAATATTATCAACTTCTCTATATTAACAGGCTATGTACTGCAGGCTTTTGAAGTAGCCTATAAACATATAAAACTCTCAATGACCAGCTCCATTTTACCTTAAAGACCTTATCGTACCGTATCATCCTAACAGAGTTCTTCGCTCTCAGACTGCAGGTCTGCTTGTGGTTCCCAGAGTTTCCAGCAGTAGAATGGGAGGCAGAGCCTTCAGTTATCAGCTCCTCTCTTATGGAATCAGCTCCCAGTTTGGGTCTGTGCGGCAGACACCCTCTCTTCTTTTAAGGTTAGGCTTAAAACTTTCCTCTTTATGAAAAGCTTATAGTTAGGGGTGCTCAGGATCACCTGAACTGTCCCTTGGTTATGCTGCTATAGCTTTAGACTGCCGGGGGATTCCCATGATGTACTGAGCTCCTCTTTCTTCCTTCCATACAGTTATACATCACCATTACATGTCACTAACTCTGTGTTTCCCACGAGGTCCTGTGCTTGTTCTCTCTGCAGACGTCTCTGACCTCCAGCCGCTGGCCTCACTGACCCCTAAAATACTTATATTCACATTTATTGCTCCGTTCTATTGCTTGCTCTCTATCTGCTATCCTGTTTTCCCCACACCCCCCATCCCCATTCTCACCCAACCGGTCGAGGCAGATGGTCGCCTTTACTAAGCCTGGTTCTGTCTGAGTTGAATCAAAATGAAGTAATGTCTCTTTGTGACATTCGGTTACATTCCTCGGTATGGATAAAAGAGTGAGTTCTTCTCTTTGCATTGTTTCAACTGAAAGTTTTCCCTGACCTCAAAAAAAACAAACAAGGAAAAGTCAGAAACTCACATACTTCTGCACACAAACAAAAACAATGACGGCGTTTGAGCTGCCAGTTGTGGTTTGGTAACCCGCTTGTGTTTGCTCGGAAGTGACTCGACAAAATAGTTTAGCAGACCATAGCCAGGAGCAGTCACCTGGATGAGATACAGTGAAGTGCAGGAAAAGAGAACAAGACACTCATCGAGGTCACCATATATTCTCAGTGCTGCTGTTGGTTAGGTAACACAGTGGCATCAAAGCACAGATAACTCATTCTAAAGACAGCATTTGTCCTCAGGCAATGACACTTCCGACTGTTTGCAGGGTGCAGGGGAAAGTGGCCATTATTGTTTCCAACTGAGCCAAATTATTTGGGGAAAATATTATTATATATTATTCAGCTCTAGTTTTTAAGTATACTTATTTACAGCTTTGTAAACAATATTAATGATATTAATTATTATTGGAAGCTGGTTAAGCAGTAAGTCTCACACTGTATCCCTCTTTGTTCAGGATAAAGACGGCTGTCCTCTCATCATCTCACAATTTTCTTCTTTTAAGCATTGTTGAGTGATAATTTACTTTGGATTATATGTTGACTTTACAGCCTATGGACAAACTAATGGTAAATAATGTTTTCAGGGATCTCGTGTGAATTTAGAAATGTTTACAGTTTCAATCCGTCATATTTTTAAACATCATTTATTGCATGTATTGATTTATCATAAGACTGTTTTCATGTATTTCAGAAGATGCTGTAATTATTTAACCACTACGATATAATTCTAACTAAATTATCAGTGTTGAAGGCCTGTCGTGTAGAATTTGCAAATAAAAAAAACACAGGTAGTCTAATAATTATTTTCAAAGCTGTATATTGTTTGTAATTGTGTATATGTGGTTGTTTATAATCTATATATGTTGCTGTTTATTGTGTAGTTGTGTACTGGTGAAATGTTAACTTCCTTGAATCCAATCATGGAGCTCCTGTAAACTCACCTCTTGCAGTGTATCCACCCATGACATAGATCACACCCTGACACTCACAGGCTGAGAACTCAGCCAGCGGGTCGGGCATCGAGGACACACAGGTCCACCAGTCCTGCTCCGGGCTGTAACACTCCACCGTGCCCAGACACTGGCCTCCTACAGCGTACAGCTTCCCTTGTACCGCCAGCAGCTTGAAGTTGGACCTGCATGAGAGGACACAGTGAGCCAAACATGACAACAACAAACCACTGACACTCAGCTGACCTGTGAGATGAAAACAGTCTCTTTTGTGTCACCTCTTCTGGTTGAGCGGAGCCACCTGGTTCCACTCGTTCCTGCAGGGGTTGTAGCAGTGCACAGCGGAGATCTCCTGACTCGTCATCCTGTACCCACCGACTATGAACAGGTAGTTATCGAGGACAGCTGATCCATACCCTCTGACGTTGATCATATCTGGAGGCAGGTTGTTTGCGAGGGGCTTCCAGCGTTGCTCCACCTCTCCATACCTCAGCATGGACCAGGGCTCGTCCTGATCGGGGACATCCAGGGACAGGCAGGTGAAGTCTCCGATGGCCACCAGGGTGGCAGTGCCTTTCATGCGCATCTCCCTGACTTGGTCTCTGACAGCTGAGGGCAGGCTGCTGAAGTCAGGTCGCCTCAGCATGGGGTGGAAGTAGCAGCTCATGTACTTGAGACAAGCATTACGCAGATCATGAGTCCCGTACACCTCAGACAGGCTGTACAGCTCCACGCAGTTGTCCAGCCGGATCTCCGAGGTGAGGAGCTTGAGGATGGAGGTGACCTGTAAGAAGGAAGCGGTCTCGATCAGGTCCTCCAGAGTCTCGTTGACTACCTGGACTTTGGAGGTGTTGATGAACTCCAGGACCAGCTCCAGACCGGGGACGCTGAGCCCCTGCAGCTGCACCGAGTCCTCCGTGGACTCCCTCATCCCGGAGCTGTACAGAGCGCGGAAGTAGTCGCTCTTCTCTATCAGCTTCTTCTTATTCACCTCGTAGATCTTGTCATCCATGACGATGGCAATAATCTGGTCAGATGACATGGTGAGGCCAGCAGTGTTTTTGTATTTCAGGCTGAGTTTTGTTTTTGCTTGCCCTTTGTCAGCCTGCTGAGCGAGTCACCGTTTACATTTCACCGGCGAGGGAGCTCCGTGGCCGGTCTATATATGGTAATGTTCAGCCCATAGATCGCCATGGAGCGGCTTTCTCCAGCCGGGGAAGCTAACCAGCGGCTAGCTACAGGACAGCTGCAGCGGCTACTGGATAAACTAGCCGAAAGAGCCTTTTCCTCGGGTTAACATTCCTCGACAGTCCGATAAGACGCAGCTCCGCTTAGTAAAGACCTTCTCTAAACGGTGCGGGTTGTTTCTGACAGTGGCAGTAACATTTCCCATGGCATTTTATTGGCGTTTTGCGGGTCGAAGCCGAGCTGTCAAACGTTAACTGTTTTGATTCTGCATCAAACGTCATGGCCCGGTTTCTTCTTCGTGGGTGTTTTTATGTGGCGCTGCTGTGAGCTGCTGCCCCTGCTGGCCGATGTTCGAACAGCGCCTCATCATTAAATAACATACATCTGTGTAGATTCTGGTAATCTGAAGAGCCTCAGGAAAAAGCAACTGGACTTCTCTTTATGGTTCTTCAATATATTTCACCACTTATCCAAGAGGCTTCTTCATTAATTTTACTGACTGATGGGGAGTTGTAGATATTTAGTGTCACCCTTAAAAAAAACCCTGATCGCCAGCCTCAAGGTGTTAATTGTGGGGGAGATCTCAAGACAACATTCTACGATCATAGATGAAGCAATTTGATAAAATATAGTTCAGCAGACTGTAACCCACATGAAAATGACTACCTAAAAATTCATGAAAATATTTCATATGTTATGCACAAGTTAACAGTTCATTTGAAAAAATTTGTAGGATCTGCAAAGAATTAAATATGTTGAACATTTCATTCATTTACAAATAAATACATAAGGGGATAACATAAGTGTTCAATACATTAACAAGATAATATGAGTTTTCTTTTGCACTGTGCAATCAGACACAAATGGTCAGACTGAGTCATTTATTATTTTATTATATGTATATTTGAGTCGTTATTATTTGCAACACTTTACAGCAGTTGACAAGCGTTTGGTGGTAATGTTCTGAGGTTCTCAGGATATCATGTCTTCCACACCAGTAAGATCTTTATATCGTTTGTGACCGGGAAGACCACTTCTAATAGTGATGTTGGGATTGAGCTTAAAGTTGTGCACAACTAAAAAGCTGCAGCAAAAACTTTATTCTGGTCAGATTCTATTTTATTTTTTAGGGGAAATTGAATTGAAATAAATGTATTCATTTTTTTGTAAATGTATTTGCTTTTGGAAACACTGAAATAGTAATTTGGTACAACAAAATAATTAATCTGTCTGTGTATTATTCTCTGTGTGAAGTCACTCATTTTCTGCGGCCTAGGACTAATTAGTTGCTCTATGTAAATACATAGTCTCCACCTTCGAACCAGGACATCACTAACTAACTGTGATGATCCCAGACCTTGAGATTTATTTTTGCAGTTTTGTATACTATAATTGGAGCAGTCCCCTGGATGGCACACAGGATGCTGAGTGCAGGAAAAGAGAGACACTCATCCAGGCCACCATATATATTCACTTAATGATAAGACTCTTCAGCTGTTTACATGGTGTTGGGAAAGGATTTTTAACTGGGATTTTTTGGGGCAGATATTTGGTTTAATTTCTCCATGACAATCATTACTGTCTGCGATCAAAACTGCTGAAGTGTACCACATGATTTCATATTTCATAGAGCCATCACTTTGCAGTTGCCAGTCGAACATGTAACGGCAGTGAGAGTGGAAATATATCTACTGCTGTTCTACATTTAATGGCAAAATCTGACAGGTGACAAATTGTGATTAACCAAAGGCAGTGGTGTACATCATTCAAGAAAAAAACAAAAACAAAGAGCAGGTCAGTGCAATATAATACAATGCCTCCCTCTAGTGGTCAAATATAAGTACAAACAAGTGAAACAACAAATACAGGCATATTTTTCATTTTTAGACATCACTTTGTAGGCTGGAAAAACAGAGCAAACTATTAACTTACCTATTTTACACATTTAATTCATTTTCTTAGTGGAATAGCTGTGTAGCACTAAACTTTTAAACTGGTGTTATGTCAAAGTACATGTATATTTAAAGGCTGAAGAGTTTACCTTCAAGCATCTCTTCCAATAAGAGTTTGAATTCAGTGAGTATAATAGGTAAGGTGATAGTTCACTCTGTTTGTTGTCTAAAAAGGTATTTCAGCTTTAGAGGAGGAAAATTATACGTAAAAATACAAATAAAATATACAAAAAATTTCAAGTTTGAACAGTCGGAGCAAAACCACTTTATAACTTCTTAACTTTTATACATGAGGTAGCAGGTAAAAAGATTAACACTAAAAGATCAAACACATAAAATCTCACAGTTAATGTAATAACATCGTATGCAAATGAACACACACAACAGTAAAAATACAGAACATTAGAACACAGGCAAATACAAGCATAGTCTGTTACTGTGTTACACGTGTTTGGAGCTGTTTCACCTGTGCTTCAAGGCTAGTCCCTCTGTCACTGTGGTCAGAGAGACTGATTTCCATTTCTGTTATTCGGTGACCAAAGTCTTCCACCGTGATTCGAACCGCATTTGAAGTTGCATGGATTGGGGAGATATGGGACAGAGTGGAGAAATGGAGTTGAACTTGGTTCTCATGTAGCTTGCCTTATCCAAGTTGTCACATGCCCTTAGAATTGACTTTTGCCGCTATGTTCTATCCCAGAAGGTAAGGGTACCCACGCTGCATGACTTCTCAGATTGGTAGGAATTTGAAGTCCAGGTGCATGAAAGTGAAGCAGAAATGACTGGTGTAATCGAGAGATCGGCAGAGAAAGCGCTACCAAGATAAACCTACAAACTCAAAGTCGTCTACTGTCCTACTAAACACCGGTCCTCCATCTGTAGTTGCTCCACATCTAGTTATTCCCAGTCCCACAGAGCCTGGCACTATCCATGAGAAAAACAAAACATACTGTCCTTACTGCAGCAATAACCAACACTACCTGAATCAGTGCATTAATCAGTAACCTCACCAAAGAGCACAAGGAAGCATGGATCCATAGCAACAGGAAATGCTGGAGATGTGGTAGAAACCACCAAGCTGCACAGTGTACGCTGAAAGTGCTAAATGCAAAGCATGCAGTCGAAGACATGTGGAAGCTCTCCATGATCTAAAGAAGATGCTAGCCCTTCTAGCTCATCAGGTGAAGTCCTGTATGTCGACAGACCAACTGCTTCCAGATAGTCCTCCTGCTAGACTGCAGGTAGTCAAACCTCCTTTCTTTTCTTGTGGAGTAGATTGTTTTGGCCCATTTCTGGTAAAAAAAAAAAAAAAAAAAATTAGAAGAAGAAATGAGAAAAGATGGGGTGTTCTTTTTTTCTTAATGCACTCCTTTTCCTTTCCCTCTGCCTTGGAATATTAATTTGGTGATTTGTGGGTCAAAAGAAATTACGATTTTTTTTTAAGTTAAAAGCCATTACTGTTAACACACCTGCTTTAAAGTAGAATCTGAGCATTTAAATGTAATTGAAAGGACACTCACACATAACAAATAACATCTAAAACACTCCTACTTTTCACCCAAATTTGTAGTTCGATGATTTTGACTTGCAAATGCAGTCAAGTCATACACGGCACTTCTCAAATTTCTTGTATGATCTCACACTGGTTCAGTTTACAGAAAGACCTCCAGCATTCTTTGGTTTTTACACTCCCAAATAAACATGAAACTCGTGAAGGACATAACACTCTCAATTAAACTAATGAGTGTCACATGCAGAACATGCAGTGCTCTTTGTAGGAACATGCAGTCGGTTGTAGGTCTCATCACACAGTGCAGAGTTTGTAACGATCCAAAAACTGATGTGATGCAGTCTTGTGTTTGCAGATCTGTTTTTGTGTTCAGCAGTCTGTTCCCATTTTAAATTTGATTAGGTTTTAATCTCAGTGACCCATAGCTGAGGGGAGATTATAGAGGACAGCTTCAAAAATGTTGCAGATGCATTATTATATCCTCATGCTGTTCATTTTTTTCACTCCTATTGTCTTCCTCATTTTGTTGCGTACGGTCATTGTTGTCTGGTTTGGCATCGCTCAGAATCAGAAAATCTTCTCTAATGTTGAACACTGAAATCAGCGGATACCAAAGGATTCTACAGGAAGAATGTGATTGTATGTTTGGATGTGCAAACAAGCCTTTATATATATTGAAAACCCCTAATTTGCACACATTTCCAGACTAAAAATGTAAATGTTAATCTAATGTTTTGTTTCATTTATTAGAAGCAAAGGTTTTACAGAGGGGAATTTGGATCTTTGTTTTTAACACTTACTTGTAAATCAGACAATACCATCAACAGCCAGGGGGAAAAAAGGCCTTTTTGGGATGTTTTTAAGAATAAAATGTTGGATAAATCATACTGTGACTAATATATAAGAAACCCTTCTGAAAAACCCTTCAGAAGATTGGCACAAAACTGGACTGTTTGCTGTATTTAAGTGCTGCTATGATTTCTGGCTCAAGGTACAAAAGAAAAGCTAATTTTGAGAAAACAGCCTCTAAAGTTAGTGTTATGAATGAAATCTACACCCACAAAGTGTCATAAAATAAACACCTAAATATGTATTTTGTGTATGCGATGGAATTTCAAAATCAAGCAGTGCATCAAAGAACAATGATTAGAGGTTAACTTAAATCAGAAAACCTTCCATATTAGTGTATTTGGAAGCGTTACATGCAATCATAATCATGGATATTAAAGTTTAAAACTGATGTGGTCACCAGATCAATATGTGGATGTTTGTTTAACGTGATGCAACATTATTTGAAGCATTATTTCCATTATGATTAACAGCACAACAGACAGTCTTAACTTCACTATAATATCTGACACGTGACCTCACATAGTTACTGCTGGAGGCGCGTTCAGGGTTAAAATCAACTCAGCAGTTCTGTTGTCCATCTTCAGCTGTCAATCAAGATGATGATCGTTATCACACTCATGGCGTCACTGCCAGGAGGTTTTAACAACGAGAGGGACGTCAGGACACCCATAACTAACCACACTGAGACAGGAAGCTCCACCTTCAAAGTAAAAGCATGTAGCTCTCAGTGAACGTCTGGTGTTCGTCTTTTATTAAAATCAGTACATCATTTCTTTTACTGTAAGTGTCTAGATGTCTAATAAAGCAGCTTCTGGAGAATAATAATAATAATAATAATAATAATAATAATAATAATAATAATGATGATGCGCTCTCCTGGCCTGAAGGGACAGTGTTAATGTGAAATGAGGGACCGGATGTGTCCTTGTTAAACCTGCGGTGGTGGTTGGAGGAGGAGGCCGGTGACAGACAGGCGGACAGGCGCGTCAATGACAGGGACACCTCAGCAAAGCTCTCCGCTCGGCCTCTTTCATGTTAGTGGCTGCAGGCAGCGGACCGCCGGCTGCTTGTGATCCGAGCTGAGGATGTGGGAGCCGGTGTGGGCCTCCTGGTTCCCCCGCTGCTTTTTACTCATCATCAGCGCTCACACATCAGCGGTGTCGGTCGTCGGAGACCTGCGGCCGTGCGATAAGGTGAGTGCCTTCACTGTTTACTACTATTATTATGATCATTAATAGCTCCTGATATCAGGATGCTGCTCCACCAAACACAAGTTACGTCAAGATGTTGCGTCTCAACAGATCGAACCAGGATCTTCGTGGTTCTTTCTATAAAATCAATTGTTTACCTATTTTTAATGCGGCAACAAGTCAAAAAAAAAAAATGGCCATGCACGCAAGAATGAACATCCAGATTAGATCCAAAGATCACAATAAAACACTGCGGCTGCAAGTGTTTCCAGCTCCGTAGAGGCTCAGCAGGGTCTGGATCTATGAGATCGTCCTCACGCTGCTGATCGGCTTAAAATGCGCTTCTTGTTGACTATAAACACGCTGCATAACGAGATGACGCCGTCTGCTGGCCTCCATCCCTCCTCTGAGCAGCCTCCAGCCGGGCAGCCCGGCCAGGAATACCCGCTGAGGAGGAGACAGAACCGGACTGCTGCTGTCATCCAACCAAACAGTCTCACATGGCAGGATGGAGCTCTAATTATCAAACGAGCTTTCCTTGAAGATTTTGGTCTTTGTTATATAGAGAGAGTTGCATAGATTACATGTGAGGAGATGAGTGAAATGAACCAAATCGTTGCCATCGGTTGGGATCGAACCCGTGACCTCTGGTGAGGATTTACTGTTACCTGGTACAACAGTCTGCAAGGCTCCGTCCGGTAGCTAAGCTAAACGATTTTAATTCCAAAGTAAAATCCCAATTTAACAGCAATTTATGTAACTTCTAGTGAGATTTGGGGTACACATTCGTTTTGGTGCCAACATTTTTATTAGAAAATTAATAATACTATTATAGCTGTCAATTTAATGTGAAGCTACAGCTAGCAGCCAGTTAGCTTAGCTTAGCACAAAGACTGGAGACAGAGGGAAACAGCTAGCCTAGCTTCCGTCACCTGATAACCTTTAAAATAACTACACAGTCGGTAGTTTATACACTGACTTAAAAAAAATAGTGGCATGCAATATGTTAACTAGTGAGCTTTAGAAGACTTATTGTGGATTTTGCCACCTTCAGAAGAGCAATTTCTTCCTGCTTTCTGTTTTCATGCTAACCCAAGCTAATAGTTCAGTTTGTTGCTTCCAGGTGTTTGTAGGAGTCTTTCCTCTGACTTTATTAAATTTCTACAACATCATAGATCAATGGAATTGAGATGAGCAAAGAGAGAGAGAGTCAATAGCACTGGTAGCTTCACTAATTATTGATAACTTGTCCCCAACATAGAGACAGGATAGCTCAGGATCTAACAGTAAGTCACAGCGGGAACTGTTGTTGACATCAGACAAGTGAGCATTGGATATAGCTGTGAGGAATATTAACAGATAA